CTCTTCAAAGATAACATTATTATTATTGTACAAAAAGTTACAAAACTTTTTTGTCTTCACTATTTTGTGATTGTGCCATTTTTATTTAGGTCCCCTTTTTGTTTGTCTTTATCCTTCCTTTTTGCAAAAAACATTTAAGGTAATTTCAGCCCATTTTCCTCCAAGTAGGTATAATATATAGAGGAAGGTAATTTTCTGAAATTCATACTACATATATACTAGTATATTTAATGAGACCTTTGCTTTATACACAATAGGTAAGTTTTAATATACTGGGAAATGATGCTAAAGAGAATTCTATTGTAACAAAGACTCTTTAGAAAATGAAAAGTCACTCTTCCCTCATAAGCCTTATTTATGTGTTGCTCAAAGCCATTCTTCACAAGCCTACTAACTTATGTTCTCTTCTTGGGCAGAGTGCTGGCTGGTCTTGTTGTCCAATATTCCTTCAGTGTCTAGAACTGTTTTTCGTCCATTGTACTAGTATCTGTTAGGTGAACACTTGTGGAGTTAAAATTAATAAAATGGAATAATTCAAAATATTCTATTACTGTTGTGATAGGTTGCATTGTGATTTCAAATAGCACTGACGTAACGCAATAATGGTTAAAAGCTTCCATTCTGCTCCCTGCTGCTGAGTCCTTAAATGAGATAACTTGGTCTCCCTCTTAGTATAGTGCTTGAGTCCAAATAGTAAATGCTAAATAGGTGTTAGCTTTCAGGATTTGGCCTATTTGTTACTATTCTCCTTAAGAACCCATTTTTTCCTGAGGATTTTCACTTAGATTTTTCAAAACAGGAATAAACTACGTGTTTTTTTTTAGGAATTATATATAAAGTATCTTACAGAGTTGGTAGGGGGAATAAAATATACTGTATTTTATAATAAACTAGAGGCCCAGTGCACGTGCATGAGTAGGGTCGCTAGCGGCTGTGGCCATCGGCTGGGGCCTTCCTTCATTCCGCGCTACCTCCTGGTGGTCAGTGCATGTCATAGCGAGTGATCTAACTCCTGGTCGATAGAGCTCCCGAGGGGACACTTTGCATATTAGGTTTTTATATATATATAATTATTATTGGCTGTCTCACCTAATAGTCTAATGTCTCATTCATTCATAATGTTTAATGGGAACATATTTAAAGTAAGGTGTGCTACAGAGTCATAAATAGTACTTTCCATGGTGCTTTTACTCTAAGCCTTTCAAGCACTCAGCAAGTTTAATATAAATGAGCAATTTGAGGCATTGACTAGTGAAGTCTGACATTTCCCCTGTGGAAGATGTGTGAGAATGACTGAATCATTGCTGCTAATGCACACTGTTCTATGTTAACAGTCTTTGGAAATTTGTCTCAGCCACATCAAGACAGGTGCACAAGCAAGTCCTGTACTGTGAAGTCCGTACTGTGGGCTTTGAACAATGGAACCCACCAGTCCAGTGCTGTCCAATAAAACAATACGAGCCACATGTGTGACTTCATATTTTCTAGTAGCCACATTAAAAAAGTTAAAAGAAACCGTTGAGATTAATTTTAATAATATATTTTAACTAACTCAAGATGTCTAAAAGTAATATTTTAACATGCAAATAATATAAAAAGTATTAATGAGATACCTTACATCTTTTTCAATCAAAATCTTAGAAATCCCGCATGGATTTTACACTCACAGTACATCTCAGTGGCGGCTAGCCACATTTCAAGGGCTCAATCACTACATGTGACTCATGGCTACCATATTGGACAGCACGGCTCTAGTCATTCCCAGTAGGTCAGCACCAGAGGGCAGCAGTGTGGTGTAGAGGAAAAAAGACAAAGGCTAACTTGTAATCCTATGTCTGTTCCTGGCTCTGACATTTGATATTGATGTGACTGTGAACAACTGATTTAGTTTCTCTGGGTCTCAAATTCCTACTCTCTATAATGGAGCTTGTTAATAACTGCCATGCTCCTCATAGGAGGCTGTGGAAAAGATTAAATAAGATATTATATGTGAAAGTGCTCTGTTAGATCATAAAGTACAATACACATGTAAGGCATTATTACCCCTTTTATTGTAGATTTACTCTCATGACTTGCCCAAGGCCACATTCCAAGTTGGTAGGAGAATCAAAGATAGAATCTGGGGATTCTGACTTCCAGCCATCTGCTTCAACTAAAGGCTGTTCATACCAAGCTGGCTTTAAAAAACAAACAAACAAAAACAAACAAACAAAAAACCTTCCCCCAAAACCCCAAACCCTTTTTATTAAAAAAAAAATGGGGGGAGGAAGAGAGTAATAGTAAGAAATAAATTCCATATTGAATAGTTAGGATCTTTTTGGACACTGTCATAATATTCTACAGTAAAAGTCTACATACAGGATATTTATATACCTATACATCAGAATTACAACTATCAAGGATTGGACTTTACTACTGTCATATAATATAAACCCCCATGTTTTTCAAAGTTTCAAAGAACTTCTAAATTGAACTGTGGTTTACCCACTCTATTTATCTCCAAAATATGGTATAACCACAAGAAAGTCTTTCCGTAGTAGATTTGATTAATAAAACAGATATGGATCAATGCAGCAGGTTTTCCGTGGATTATTCTTGGTTACAGATGTAGCTCATTAATCCCATGTGTGAGACACCACCTCTCCAGTGTGAATCCAAGAGACACATCAGTCTCTGAACAGAAAGTGAGAATAATTCAGTTCAATACATGTTTATTTGTGCTTACTGTGTATAAGGCACATTAGATATTTTCATGAGCAAAAGGAGTTTGTTACTACGATAATTGTCACTTAGAGAGATATAATTTAACTGAAGAAAATACAGAATATACCTACCAAAATGTGTATGTGATGTGATTCAGGAATCCATATTTTCAGAAAGTAAAAAGATGATTAGAAAGGATATTCTAGGTTATTAAAAAATAATTTAAAAAGTCACGTCCTTTACTTTTGTGAGGGCACACAGTTATCATACTCTATTTCCATTTTCCCTAATTGTAATCCTATCATGGTTTTCATATTTAATTTTGAGGGACCATTTTTTACATTTGCTTCAAATGAATTTCTTCACAAAACTTAAAAATTACATACAATATTTAGTTTTATACTATGTAAATTAAGCATAAGCCAAGTTAATTTTCACTGAGACGAAGACTATATATTCAAAAAGTTCATTCTTATTCTTTCTTAAATGACTTTCAGTTTGTTATTTTTATTGGAAAACTATCAAATATAAGCTTTGGGCCTGCCTGAATTGATGAGCATGTTGAATCAATGAAATTTTTACTTTCATTGCTGTTGACTATTGAATGAAATAGTTTATTGAGTAACCTTTTCATTTTATTGTTTTTGCACCCCAGTTTAAAAACAAGACTTAATTTTTTTAAAAGTCTAATAAATGTATTTTTTATGTTTTCACCATAACTTTACAAGCAATTTATCTCCTCTGCCCTATAATAGCCACCTTCTGCATCTTTATGATTTAGTTTAACATTATTACTGTAATTTTTTACTGGGTGAGCCCATCCATGCCCTTGGCAGCAAGATTTTGTTACAAGAAATTCAGAAGCTGAGCCTGCCATTGGTTACAACAATTATGAAGTTTCCCTGGATTGGGGTCAGAGCCTTACCCTGACATTATGACTGTAACAGGAGGCCTGATTCCTTCATCAGCATCTCCAAAATATGTGATAGGCTTGAATCCTATAACGTGTTGCTTAAATGAGTATATATACATTTTATTCAATGGTTTTGCATTATAAATATTTCATTTGATTAACATCTGGCCTTGATGAAATCCAGCCAATAATTAATGGTACATGTAGTAAAAATGTGATACCTTATGAGAGTTATTAACATATTTGAATTTATCCAGAACTCAGGATTGATTCATTCTAGACCGGATGTGGTCATGTGGCATTAACTGCAGGGCTTCTTGCTGTGCTTTTCTTTTTGTTCAAGGGCACCTCCAGCAAGAACACAGAAATGTGAGGAATCTCACATTCTTCAAATTGCTAAATAAAATTAAATAGACTATAAAGAGTCATTGTACTATTCAATATTCGGAAATATTGAGCTGTGTGTCCAAAAGTCACACTTAACACCAGGCAATAGTAATAAACATAAGATGACTGTGGATACTATGAGATAATGTCTACTTGTCAGAAATGGATGGCATTTTTTCCCCATCAAACTTAAAAAGTTAATGATGTCCTTCATATGTTAATTGCTCCTCCTGAGAGATCAATGCAGGGACAAAAGAGATTCTGGTATATTGTTATCATTTTTCACTGTGAATATATTCAGTATCATATGTGAATAAAACCGTATGCTATATCATGCTCTGCTTCATATTTGCTAGATTGTCTTAGGAAAATTTAGTACATGCCACTTCAGTCATCTGAAAGGAATCATTTCTTCTTTACAACTCATAACTTAAAACTATAAACTATCAGCCAGAAAAAAAATTGGGCCAATTAAGAGAAATTTGATAATTGTCCAAAAAGCACATATAGATATGACTGGGAGATGATAAGATTATTTTAATTTTCCCATTTGCACGGGAATTATTTATTTTACAAATCTCCAGATCTTCTATGACTTGAAACCCTCTGCTGAATCATGAAAAGCAGCTTAAGTTAGCAATTTTTTGCAGATTTTCCTCTGCAAAATCTAGCTGCTAGCATCTGGTGAACACTTGGATAACCTAGTCAGGGCCTATGGAAATGATTATTTTAAGACTCTATTCAACATGCCTGGACTTAAAAAACCAGCTAGAATCACACTCTGCACATGTATTTTACTGTCAGGGATTTAAAAACCTGGCATTAGTAAAGATGGACTAAAGGCTTTTGCAGCAGTGGAGATGGGGATAGGAGATAGGACATGCAGGCAGGCTGGATAGCCAAGTGTCTTCCAACTCCTCTCCCCACCCCCCACCTTTCCCTGTGCACCACCAGCGGCCAGGCCACTGCTACGCCCTCCATCACTTCTTACACTTACATTTAGACTTGGCTGCCTGCAGAATCAGGACCAGCGTCCTTGCCTGTGCCTTCCTGTGGCACACCTGGGACTGGTTTCTGCTCCACTTCCAGAACAGCGTCTGAAATAGAAAAATAGGATACTTTTACTCAGAGATTTCCAACCAGTGTGCCTGCAAGAATTTTTAAAACATGCAATACATGACTATTTAGTCAGAGTACTGACCTCTTTTCCCTTAGATTGTTAAATAAGTAAATGACAACAGCCAACACAACAATAGCCATCTGGTGTGAATGAATCAAAATTATGCCTATTTTTTTGTGTGTCAGATGGGCAAAAGTATATTTTTTGGTGTGCCACAGAATTTTATTAATTAGTTTATGTGTGCTATGAGATAAAAAAGGTTGAAAATCACTGCTTTTACTAAATTGGGAAGGCAACAGGAAGCTGAATTATCAAAGTGTATTGTTTTTGGATCATAGGAGAAATTACATAATAGGAATTTATAAATACACATTGAAGTAGAAAATGCTATTATTTGCCAAAATTTAAAAGCACATGTAGGAGATATTAGGGATATTTGAATGCTGTTTAGGCGAGAGAATATTTATTGTTGTTGTAATATGTGCAAATGTATACTTATTTATTTTTACACATATACTATATATAGTTTCTGTCCAAATTAATGATTTATTGTATATCTTTATTGCCTTTCATGGTTATATTATGTGCTAAGTTCTCACTAAAATAACTCCCATTAATACAGATTTGAGATAATTTAGAAAGGATTTGGCCATTTGTTAAAGAGAAAACAGATTTCTGAGGAAGTTATACCTCTGGGAGAAAAGTTAGGTTTATTTTAGAAAAGTGAGATCTTCCAGAAACACATTTTCCATCTGTTTGTATACAATAGTATTTGAGCTAGAAATTATTCTTAGTTATTTATCAAATCAGGTCTGATAGGGCTTTAATTTGGCAAGACTTGTAGGTTTTTGTGTGAGCTTTTTGGGCAATTTAGTCGAAGACACTTTATGAATCATCTATAATTTAGACTTGTTACAAATCATATTCGACTTATTCCCACTTAAATTGAGCTTCAGAAATTTAACTCTGTGTTTTGGATAATAGATACTTTATTTTGTTTTGTTATATTTCATAGAGACGTGTTTAGGAAATATTACCTACATTTGTTGTTAAAATGGATTTAAGTAGGAACAATTTCAGACATTCAGATAAACAAAAATATTTGAAAACTAAGATTGATTGATTAGGAAATAATTGCAGAATTGGGTATCCAATTTAGAATTTCTGCAATGTGTTACAAGTGATCTATTCTAGAGCAGTACTAGCCAATAAAACTTCCTGTGACAATGGAAATGTTCTATAGCTGTACTGTTCAACACGATAGGCACTAGTCACCTGTGGCTACTGAGCACTTGCAATGTGACTAGTACAAATATGGAGCTGAAGTTTTAGTTCTTTTTAATTTTAATTAATTTGAATGGAAACACCCACTGTGGCTAGTGGCTACCTTATTGGAAATTATAGCTATAAGAGTTTATCTGAATTCGGTATTCAACATGAAATAAGGAAATATTTGAGTGTTTTTTAGTTGCTGAAAGTCTACAAGACATGAGTGTCCCTAAAACACAAGGTCCAGGCTATGGTATGTGGCCTTCCGTAGGAGTCCTCACAATGTGTGAACAAGCTTGAAGGGTGGAAATAGCTGTGTTTTGAACTTTGGCTAAACCTGTGCATATTCAGGCATAAATAAAGTTATGTTGCTCATAGGTGATTTGAAAACATTTTTGTCTCTGGAAGGCCATGAGATCTCAAATCATCTCTAGTACTAAAGTTCAGTGACATTAAATGAACTCAAGGGCTTGACTTTTTCAGTCCATTTCTACTAAGGTATGACTATCAGTAATAGAGACAGATATAAAAGAGATACTTCATGAACATAGCTGCCTCCATGAAAAAGAAATTCTAGATTCAGACTGGATAGCAGGACCAGGCTGAAAAATACTTTGGACCCTCTCCCCAAATCATTTTTCAATAAATATTCATTGAGGACTACTATGTATAAGGCAAAATGCTTAGTGTTGGAGATGAAATGTTGGGGGAAACACAGATACAGCTCTTGGACTGATGATGATTAATTGCACTAGATAATAATATTTTTCCAATATCTTCTTCTTCCAAAATTTATTTTTTTCCTTGGATATGGTGAAAATAAAGCAGGATATAGATACACAGGATAAAAAAAAAAGATACACAGGATACATAAAAATGCTGATGATCACTATTAGGTGTGTTTCACACATTTTACTCAATTTACTTCTCTCTGCACAGCTTTCACAGTTCCACAACCAGACAGATGAAGAAAGAGTTTCTGAAATGCAATACTGGAAACAGAGAAAATGACTAAAAAAAAAAACCCGCCAATTACCATTTTTAGAACATGGGATGAGCATCATTGTTTAGCATTTGAGTGTTTACCACATATTTTTTAAAGGAATTCTTCCCTCTCTATGAGCCAAAAGAATGTCCTTTAAAATAATTACCAACTAAAAGACTTTTCTTGCTCTTATGTGATGACACATTTTTTACTTTGCCATTCAAAGCACTGTAAGAAAGAGTGCTACAATCACCGCTCATGAAATGAATCAAATTACTCAATTTTCAAGCACCATTGCAAGACCTGAAGGGAACTATTAGCTGTACAGGCAATATGTAGCTTATTGTATTTCAGTTCATGTTGGAAGAAAGAGTCAGAATGTGGCAAAATACTGAGTAAGAACTATTTAGTCTGATTTCTTTTTTTTCTTCACAGAACAAATGCATAATTAAATGTATGATTCAACTTGCATTTTAGATGACTGCATTTTAGATGAATTTTCAAATGTGTCACTGATGAAAATTTAAGGATGAAAAGGATTAAAAATTAAATCAAATCAATGAAACCATAGTACATAGTACTTAAAGTGTCTAAAGGCCATTAAGTCTTATCTCCAAATATATTAATTGATAATGTCCCTAATTTTCTAGACAGACACTTTGAAAATAATTTTTAAAAACTAACTACAAAGCAATGGAAGAAGGTAGAGGGGAAAAAGAAATACATTTATTTATATAAATACATTAGAACCAATTGCAAATAATGTTATGAATAAAGCTAAAAGGTGAAGGAGAACTTGCTTTATTCTTTCAAAAAATATATATCATATGGAGGTTTTAAAACATGCCCACAAATTCTTTGACCCTCCTCTATATTCCCCGCATTGAATCTGGGAGACCATGTGACCGCTTTGACCAACAGAACACAGTAGAGGTGGGTACTATGTAGCGTTTGATGCCAGGTCATAAAAGACCACGAAGGTGTTGCCTTATGTGCTGGCACACTGTCTTTTAGAGCCCCGAATTTCCAGGTAAGAGGTCTGAATCCCCTGAGACCACTGTGCAGACACCATGTAGGTGCTCCAGCTGGTGATGCCCAGAGAGCCAGCCTTCCTTCTATCTCTGCCAGGCACCACACACGAGTAAAGCCATTTGGGGCCCTTTAGATCAGCCGGTCTGCCAGGTGAGTAATCTGTGAGAGCAGGAAAATCTCAGCCAACACCCACACAACTGTGAGATAAAATAAGATGTTTGTTGCTTTAAGCCACTAAATATTGATGTGAGTTGCTATGCAGCAATAGAAAACTGGAGCATACTCTCTTGTATGTAGGATATTTTCACAATAAAACATTGAGAAATTGAATGTAAAAGACACTCTGGGAGGTTATTTGCCAAAATGGACAAAGAAAGTCTTAGTATCCTTCCTATATAAAGAGATCCTACAAACACCAAGAACAAACTAGTAATACTATATAGGAAAATTGGCTATTAAATGAAAATAAAATTCACAAAAGAAAAATAAAACATGAATATGTAAAAAAGTTCAATTTCATTAGTAAGTAAAGAAAATGTGAATTACACAATGGGGTTAAAATTTTGGTTATCAAATTGGCACCATTGGGTGTAGTGATAATTAAATGAGGTTATACTTATGAAAAAGCATAATAGTTCATCAATAATTATTATCTCTTTTCTTACTATCCAAGGATACCATCTGAGATCCATATCCAAATTCACAACTCTTGCCAAATTCACTAAAGGTTCTTCTACTCTGGCTCCTTCTATATACCTCTTTTTTAAAAAAAATATTTTATCGACCCTCCACAGAGAGGAAAAGAGAGGGACAGAGACCCAGAAACATCCATGAGAGAGAAACATCCATCAGCTGCCTCCCGCACACCCCCCACTGGGGATGTGCCCGCAACCAAGGCACATGCCCCTGACCGGAACTGAACCTGGGACCCCCCAGTCCACAGGCCGACACTCCAGCCACTGAGCCAAACCAGTCAGGGCTATATACCTCTTTACATCACAGTTGAGTCTCCACACCATAGTCAAAAAGATATTAAAAACAAAAATAAGTGAGTCAAGTTCTTGCTTACAATTCTTCAATAGTTCTAAATGCATAAAAAGTGCATCTACTCTTGCCCCACTCTCCACCTGCAGATGTGGTAAACTTTGAAAAAGTAAATCAAGTCATGCCATTCTCATGCTCAAGACCCCCAGCCCCCACTCTTCTCATCCAATAGCTCCCCATAGCACTTAGAACAAAACCAAACTTTTTCTTTTGGCGTCCATGCCTCATATAATTTCACTTTGCCTACAATTTTGCCCCCTTTCCCCCTTGCCCTCTATTCTCTAGCCACACTGGCCTTCTCCTTATGAAAAACATCATGCTGGTCCCCACTTTCAAGCCTTTGCTATTCTTCTGCCTGTAATTCTCTTCCTCCAGACACTGTTGGGCTCTTCACCATTTAAATCTCAGCTTGAATATCACTTCTTCAGAGAGGTTTTTCTTGACCACCCGATCTAAAGTCAACCACTCATTTTCATGTATATCTAATTATCTTTAATTCCATAGGAATAGTTATATCTTTCTTATTTAATGACACCTTTTATTCATTTATAGTCTTCTTCCACCAACCCTTCCTCTCTCCCCACCCCTCCTTGAAAGCAGGGGACTTGTTTTGTTTATTGGAACACCCCTTACAACCAGAACTAGGA